AAAACTCAATATTCAAAAAAATGTAAAAATGGGCTGTTTCTATTGTCCGCACTTCAGTCATTAAACTTCGTCTTCTTCTAGCTTCATTCTAATTTCTAACTGATAAATTATTCCTTTATTAAAAGCCAGTTAATATATGGTATTTTACTAAAAGTCAAAGGCCAGTTATTGTATTTTAAACCAAGGTTCAATATCCAAAAATTAAATCTAATTCGTGTTTAATTTATGAACATTGAATTAGAATGAGTTGAACGAAAAGCGATAATTTCTAAAGTTCGGTGGAATAAGGTTTTAAGGGAGTTTACTTCGCTCACCTTAGTCCAGCCAATAAACAAATACTATAATTTGAAATTTGACCTATAAGAACATACACAAACTATCTAAATTTAAAGCTTGGCTCGTCAGATCTTTAAAAATGCATACATATACATATTAGTGCTATCTAAATCAACTTGGTCAACCAGATCTTTACTTATATACTATCTAGATCGAAATGTGTGCAAATACTTTGAAAGTTAATTAGTTAGATCTCTAAAAGTGCACAAACAAAGCTTAAAAACTTAAATTATTTAACCTCAAAAATCTGAAAGAAATCTACTTACAATTTCTGCCGCCATTTGCTAATTTCTATCCTTTCTCATTCGTTTCACTGGTTTCAAAGTTCATTGGTTTTTAATACTTTTACTTTGGGGTAAAATTTTTATTTACGCCCAATCAGCATGTGACTTTTTGCAGATCATAGTTATGGATTTAGAATTTTTTTTTTTTTTTTTAAATCCAAAGTTGAGGCATGGATTTAGAATTTTAAACAAAAAATTAACACAAACTATAATTTAATTATGCTTGCTAACAAAATCTAAACAAATCCAAACTTAAAAAAAAAAATCTTAATATTTATAAATTGATATTTTTTATATAAGAATAAACCGAAATAACGCTCGTGGGCATTATTTTGAAAATCATGTTCCTCAAAAATAGCATATGTGATCTCGAATTAACGCCCATGGGTGTCTCGAATTAACGCGCATCTCCATAGAAATAGTGATTATACCCGGCCTGTAATAACAATTAACCCGGTAGATGCATAGGAGTTTTTGCGGTTTAGTCTAAACATTACCCAGGTCCACCCCTATTTCAAAATAACGCACATGGGCGTATTCGAAATAACGTGCAGGTCAATCAATTAACGCAGGTGGGCGTTATTTCGCGCCTTATATAGTATGTTATTTGTTTAAATAAGATTATTAATAAATTTTGACTAACTAGTTTGGCCAGAGTTTGGGATTTGTGCGTGAACAAACCTAAATTATGGTATATATATAGTTTTGGATTTGAGCGGCAAATGCGGGCTATCTTGATTGACTTTCCCAATTTACTTATTATCTACCATCTTAGGTATTGAATAAGCAAATTCCGGGTGCATCTATTTACCCAACAGATTACGTAATGTCAAAGTGATTATCTAAGTATAAACAAAACTACCCTGCGTCACCATTAAAATTTTATTATCACGTGACGATCTACATAACTTATCCAATAGCAAGTCTCGTTCTGAAAAGTTCGTTTTTTCAAAAATCGGCCATTACTCAAAATTTTGCATAATAAACTACCTTTCGTGCACTAATAAAAAAATTTCCTTGCGCAATTTTACTATATGCCTTGCTATTGTTTAACTTATTAATAAGCACTAACCCTAACTTAAACGAACTTAAAGATTTTTTTGTACGTAATTTCACTGTCACGTGATAGTGAAATTTTAATGGGGACGCTGGGGAAGATAGTAAACATGTTCGATCAGTCAAAATTGATCCAAAGTCGGCATTCAAACAATTTTTTGTACTTTGAGCAAAACCTTTACGATAACTACCTGACCAAATATGAGGAAGACGTTTTTATTTAATTCTACACATTCGTAGAATTAAAAATTTTTTTATTGAACTTAGTCAGATGGCTATCGAGAAAATTTCGTTTAAGTTTTAAAAAGCTAGAAGCATTAAGATTTAAAAGCAAATCAGTTTTAAAATGTGGGTCTAATGCAAAAAGCACAAAAGCGATTACCAAACCTTAATCTATCTTATTTGTTACCTTTTTTTTTTTGGCGAAATTTGGTCTTTATTTAAACTGGGATCTTTAGTTTAAAAAACGTGCAGTACGTTCATAGTTGCAAATTAAATATGTCACGTTACTAGAGATCGTTGATTTTATCCAATTAGAAACGTCGACCAATATAAACTCGGAAGGATGTCACGGATGCTATTCAATTGAATAAGACCCTGGTACTATATGCAACGACTAATGTCAAAGATTATAAACAAAATAAAACTATATATCTAATTAAACTTGATACCAAATTTATCGTTATGTATCTACAGTATTAAAGAATATCTATGAAATACAATTTATTGTACTTAGTGTCATGTGAAAATCGGAGATTCTATTATCGATTTATTGCGCTTTTCAAATTATTGTGATCAGCAAGTTCGAAATCTAAAATAAATGTGAATACATGATTGGCTAAAAATTATTTCCAACCAATCACAAATTTGCATTTATTTTAGATTTCTGATTGCGCAATAAAAGAAATACGTATAAACGTAATATTTTCTCCGATCATCACAAAAATCATGTGGCCACATCTTTTGCAAAGCGCCATATAATTGTCTAAATTAAGTGTGGTGATATCTAGAGGGGTTGAAAATATTACCATAAATCGCTATATAACGATAAAGGGGATCGAGGTATTATAACGAAGTAGACATTGTGACGAATCGTTATATCTTGTGATCCAACGATTGGAAATGGATAATTTTGGTACCATTCAATTCCTCTCGTTGGGAAGAATCGAATGGCATCAAAACTATCCAATTCCAATCATTAGTTCATGAGATATCACGAACCGCCACAATATCTATGTTATAATATCCCGATCTCTCTTATTAATTATTGTGGTTTGCAAAATCTAAAATCAATCGATTTCTGATAACTGGATGTGAAATTTCACACCGGAGTAATTTTTTGATCTGCAAAGTTTGCAATAATAAGATATAGTTTTTTCAATAATTATCATATGAATGCTGCAAAGGGAAAGCCTATGATATAAGTACGAATTGAAGCTTCACTATGGCGAATTTAACTCAGAAAATTTGAAAATTAGCACAGTATTATCAAATTTTCTGTTTTAAGTTCGATATCGATATAGTGTAAATTTGTACTTACATATCTTCCCTCTGCAGACTCAAATGAAGGTATCTCATGACCTAGTAATCGAATTCGAATGATTTTGATATAAGTCGATTCGTCTTATTAAATTTATTTAATTCTGATGTATAATAAATTATGCTTAATTTCCGTAAAAATGTCGTGCTTGAAGCTAAAATTGGCCCCTGACATTAGATCATCTTGCATGCATTAGTTGGCAAGTTTAGGCAGGTTTAACTTCAAGTGCTTGAAATTACAACTTCAAAGTCGTGGGTCACACCGTTTTGCAAGCTATAAGAAGCGTAGTTCTAAAATTGAGTTGCGTGGATCGAAATTCGATTATGAGATATGACCAACCGACAAACCAGTTATTATTTATGCTTCAGACTGAAATGTATAATTGAAATTGAATGGTTCTTCGTGTATTTCGTACTAAAAAGAAACAATCATTAGAATATTCATTTATTTTGAGCAAGCTTTTTATGCCCAGGGCATCGAATGATATTTTTGGCTCTAGCAAAATTGCAGATTCATTTTGGCCGATTAATTTTAAACACAGAAACAAGACAAAGTTTTCGCACCAGAATTCAAAATTAATATCACTCTGATGAGCCTACAAAATTTTTTAACAAAAATTTTTCATCAGGTAAGAAAATACTTTGAAATTAGATCATAACATACTGTATCTGTCAAAGAAGCTACATCAAAAAAATTCTAGAACATTTACGAAAACATGTATAAGTGTAAAATATTGTTGCAAAAAAAATTTGTAGATGAAATATTATCAATTTTAGTTCGACACAGACTTTGCCCAAGTACAGAAGTACAGAAATTCTACGTACGTACGTACGTACGTACTGTACCTTTTTTCCCTGCAATGAGTCCCCATGTATAGTATATGTTTTAATTGGTGGAATGCAGCACACCCGGTTAGTCTATATGGCGAATTCCCTTTTTTCGTAAAAATTATTTTGACCTTTTTTTTTGGTTTAGCCGCACTGGATCACGTGATAAGTGTATTTTCGTGGCAATTTTTTGCGGTATGATTATTGAAGTAAATTTTGCAGAGTCCGCACTCAGAGTAAAAAGGAATGCGTTTCTTTATGTAAAATTTCATCCTCGTTGTTTTTAATTAGTGCTACGAAGTTAAACACTTGTTTCCTTGCGCACGTGATTGAAATGTTGATGGTTTTAAAACCATCAATAACAAAAAATTTTTAAATATATTATTCAAAAAAAAATTTTTTTTTTGCTATTAAGATGACTTAATACGTACAAAGAGTAATACGTACGTAGAAAATTTTTTAATGTAAACCCTTTCGAAAACAGTAATAAAAAATGTCGGGGGAGGGGGACAAAATGGATGACCTTATATTGACTCTAATCCTAATTGTCCTAATTGATAAAATAAAAAAAAATTCAATTATGTAATGGAGTTACTATCAAGATGATTGGGTAGAAAAGTCAGAAAAAAAAAAGTTTTAGCATTTGTACTACAATCAATTCTTGTCGGATTTGTTTTAATGTAAAAAGAAAACAATAATCATACGATCCACTATTTACCATTCAAATTTGCCTGCAGATTTTCACGGAGCAATTTCATTCGAGAAAGTGATGTGGGATGATTATTATTTTGTGAGCACGTGATAGAATTGAGTAACCCAAAAGTTGAATTGAAAAAAAAAGAATTTTTTTTAGCAGTTTTCCTTGAATTATTGCCTTGTATTCTTCTTTCGCGTTTCATTCTTTCGTGTTTTGTATAGCTTCCGCGTCCAATAAAACCCTGAACTACAAATAAACACATGCCTTCTACAAATCACGAATACAATAACGTTTTTGATTATAGGCATCCCCTCTATATTGGCGGCTGGCGAAGGAATGTCGCGTACATTGACGAAGATTTTATCCATGACAACCTAGACGAGCCTCATATGAAGAGGAAAATTACAATTTTAAATCAATATCCAGAAATTAAAAGACTATATGGATATGACACCATTACCATAGACATTGCAATTGTCGGAGTCTTAGTTCAAGTGACGGCAGCATATACATTCGGTCGTTGGCTAGTCAGTTGGAATTTGACGATGTTCTTTGTTTCATTTTTACTCGGAGGAGCTATGACACAGATTTATAGTATAATAATTCATGAGACTACACATTGCCTCGCGGCGAGAACAGAATTTCAGAATCGTATCGTGGGTCTTATCGCAAATATAGCATTACCAATACCCA